AAACTGTGCTTTATGAAAATTACCAGCAGCTGGATCGAGGATAGATGGGAGCGTGGAAAGACTTGTGGCCAACAGACCAGCCAGCAGACTATTGCAATAGTCAAGGGGTGAAGAGATCAAAGCCAGAATGGTGGCCGTGTTAGAGGAAAGAAGGGGGCATATTCAAGAGATGTCACAAAGGTAAAATGGACAGGCCTTGGCAACAGATTGGATATGGAGGAGAGGGAGGGGAGAGATAATGAGGTGTTGAAGATGATACCCAGGTTGTGAGCCTGGGGGACTGGGAGGATGGGGGTGTCCTCAACAGTAGTAGGGAAGCTGAGAAGGGGGAGAGGGTTTGGGGTGAAAGATAATGAATTCAGTTTGGGATATACTGAGTTTAAGAAGTCTATTGGACTTTAAGAGGTAGAGATGTCTGATAAGCATTTGGAGATTCGAGGGTTAGGGATGGGTAAGTAAATCTGGGAGGCAGTTTAGTGGGGCAGTGGATAGAGCACTGGGCTCTGTGTCTATTCAGTTTCCTCATCTGTAAAATGGGAATAATTAATAACACCTTCCTCTCAGGATCAAATGAGATAATATTTGAAAAACAACTGGCATAAAAAAAAATAAAAAATAGTCAGACATGACTGAAAAATACTGTGCCACCTAACTGTCTCCAGAGGCAGGAAGACCTAAATTCAAATTCCACGTCAGACATTTACTACCTGTATGACCCTGGGCAAGTCACTTACCCTGTTCTATTTCATTTCCTCATCTGTAAAATGGGAATAATAGCACCTTCCTCTCAGGATCAAATGAGATAGTACTTGAAAAACAACTGACACAAGAAACAAAAATAAATAAATAAAATTTAATTTCAAAAAAGAAAAGCAACTGGCACCTACAGAATGTTTTTGTGAAGGTATTTCCTTCCTTAATGGTTTTCCTTTGTTATAAGGGAATGTCCAAATGTTAGAGCAGTAATCAAGAAATGATAAATGGGCAAAGACATCAACAGAATAATGGAAAAGATAAAAATAATCTTTCTAAAAGATGTTTCATAAGACTCAAAGGGACTGATGTTGCGTGGATTTTTTTCCCCCAAGATAATAGAAAATCTAAACGACAGTGCAGTAACCTTGACTTCAATTCCTGGAATCATCCAACAGTTGTTTTATTACAAGAAAAGTTAGTGAACACCCAGAAAGTGAAGCAGAGTTTCCAGGAAGGCAGCTATCTTTATCAAGAACAGATCATGCTGAGTTAATCAGGTTCTTTTCCTTTGTTTTGTCACTGAGCTACTGTTAGCTGAGAGGAATGAAGTCAATAAGAATTTATAAAAGATTTTTTAAAAATTATGGGTAAATATATTTCTATATCACCTTTATTTCCAAATATGTTGTTGTTGTTGAGTCATTTTTCGGTCACGTATAACTCTTCATGATTCCATTTGGGATTTTCTTGGCAAAGATGTTGGAGTGGTTTGCCATTTCCTTCTCCAGCTCATTTTACAGATGAGGAAACTGAGTCAGACAGGGTTAAGTGACTCGCCCAGGGTCACACAGCTAGTAAGTATATACCGAAGTGGTTTTCCATTTCCTTCTCCAGCTAGTTTTACAAATGAGGAAACTGAGGCAAACAGGGATAAGTGACTAGCCCAGGATCACACAGCTACTAAGTGTCTGAGATCAGATTTGAACTTGGGAGATGAGTCAGTCTGACTCCAAGCCTGACCCTAAGCCTGACCCTAAAGTCATTGGCACCAGTTAATATCCTAAGTGTAATACCCACTTTCGCTTTCAAGGTTAAGAGATTGCTCAAAGCTAGGAACTTAACAATTCTTAAGAGCTGTGGTTCAGAAAGGAACTGAGCTGTGACTACCCTGAAATATTAACCCAAATCTGTATGTTCAGCAATTTTTGTCTTGCTGAGGATTCCCGTGTCGCCTCGTATTTTTTTTTTTGCCTTTTTTGGTGAGGCAATTGGGGTTAAGTGATTTGCCCAGGGTCACACAACCTCATATTCTCTTAAAACAGAGAAGGCATGTAAGAGGGCAAGGGTGGGGGGAACTGAGCCAGTTTGGACATCTCTTTCTTTCCAAGCTAGTTGACTTGGTTATAGATTAATGGTAAATTCAATAAAACTATTTCTAGCAGACATGAGCCTAAATTATAGAACATAGTATTAGTCTTAATTTTTTTCTTTGACACTCAGGGCCTCTATATATGGCTTCATGGCCCAAAAGCGCATTAACTATCAGCTCCTAGGTGGCACAATAAGAAAGAGTTCTCAGCCTAGAGTTAGGAAAACCTGAGTTCAAATCTGGCCTCAGATACTTACTAGCTGTGTGGCCCTGGGCAAGTCATTTAACCTCTGTTTGCCTCAGTTTTCTATAGGATAATAGTAGCACCTACCCTCTGGGTTGTTGTGAGGATCAAAGGAGATAATTTATAAATTTTAAAATTTATTATTTATTTATTTTAACATTTTTCTTTTAAAATTCTGAGTTCTAAATTCTCTCCCTTTCTCCCCCTCTTCCCACACCCACTGTGAAGACAAGTGATATGATGTCAATTCTGTATGTGAAATCATGCAAAATTTCCATATTAGCCATATTTTTTTAAAAAGTCAGAAAAGTAAAGAAAATTATACTTCAATTTGCAGAGTTCATCAGTTCTCTGGAGGTAGGTAGCATTTTTTTCTATCATGAGTCCTTTGGAATTGTCTCAGATTATTGCATTGATCAGAATAGGCAAGTCTTTCCCCATTGATCATCATTACAACATTGCTGTTACTGTGCACAATGATCTCCTGGTTCTTTTCACTTTATTTTACATCAGTTCATACAAATCTTGCCATGTTTTTCTGACACCCCACCCCCCTTGTCATTTCCTATAGCACAATAGAACTCCATCACAATTGTATGCCACAACTTGTTCAGCCATTCCCCAGTTGATGGGCATCCCTTGGATTTGACGTAAGATTTGTAAGGTGCTTAGCTGGCACATAGTAGGTTCTATATAAAAATGCTAGCTATTATTATAATCCAAAGTCTTCAACTTGACATTTAAGGCTCTAGACAGCTCCACCAGGACTCATGCTCACAGGAGAGGAACAGCAGTGTGGTATAGTGAAAAGAGCTCTGGCTCTGGGTTCAAAGGAGCTGGGTTCAAATCCTAGCCTATGGGACTTTGGGTAAGTCACTTAACTTCTGTAGACCTCAGTTTCCTCATCTGTAAAATGAGGACCCTTTGAGATCCCTTTCAGTTCTAGATCTAGGCTCTGAAGACTTCATTTCCAATCTTATTTCATCCCATTTCCCTTCACAAACTACATTCTAGAAAAGCTAGACCACTAGTTGTTTCCCAAAGCACAAACTCCATCTCCTGTCTCCCTGTTGTTGCATTCTGTCTCCCATTCATGGAATGCTCTCTCTCCTCACTTTAATACTCAAAATCCTTGCTTTTCTTCTAGGGTCAGATCAAGTACCACCTCCTGCATGAAGTCTTCCCTGATTTCCCCAGCTGTGGTGGATCCTTCCTCGATATTTCTCCTTCCTTCCTTCCTTCCTTCCTTCCTTCCTTCCTTCCTTCCTTCC